CTTGCCACACTGCTGGCCAACCAGGTCTTCACCCGGGTTCACAGAAGTCTATTGAACGTTGTAGGGCTTAGCTCACCGCTTCATTGCTGTTTTTCCCTCACTTCCCCTTATTGGAGTCGAGCGTAGTCACCAATCACAGTATGTATTCCCACTGAGTCTTAGTCTTGGAAGGGGGTTTGCACTGAGGGGACCCGATCACGTGCCTTGATGTTTCCTGGGCAAGCAAGTTGCTTGTTCTTGTAGTAACAGTCGGTCTGCCTATGTGGTTTTATATTTTTCCTGTAGGTCTTTCTTTCAAGAAGTATCTTCTGTTCTTCTAGCCACTCCAGGTTGGTCTGCTTGTCCTTTCAAATGGGAATTTCCTATCTCTGGAGATCTGGATGTGGTTCAGGCTTCCACCTATAGTCTTATGTATTGCAGAGGCTCCGCTCACACAATCCAATTTTGATAGTTTATTTTTCAATATCTCTTTGTAGATTTCCTCTTCGCTCTGTCTGAAAATGACGAGAAATCTTTTGGACAAAGGGTAATGTTGTTGTTGTTGTTAGGTGCCATCAAGATGATACCAACTCATAGTGGCCCTATGTACAACAGAACACACTGCTCAGTCCAGCGCCAACCTCACAATTGTTGCTATACTTGAACCCACTGCTGCTCTTACTGTGCCAGTCCAGCTCACTGGGGGTCTTCCTCTTTTTCTCCGACCCTTCACTTTACCAAACATGATATCCTTCTTCAGGGACTGGCCCCTCCTGAGAATAAGTCTGAAGTATGAGAGACAAAATCTGGCCATCCTAACTTCCAAGGAGCATTCTGGCTGTACTTCTTCCAACACAAGGTTGGTTTGTTCTTCTGGCAGTCTATGGTACTTTCAATATTCTCCTCCAACACCGTAACTCAAATGCATCAATTCTTCTACAGTCTTGCAGCGTTCACACGTATACCATGACTTGGGTCAGGCGTACCTTAGTCCTCAAATTGACATCTTTGCTCTTCAACACTTTAAAGGGGTCTTGTGCAACAGATGTGCCTAATTCAATACATCCTTTGATTTCTTGGCTGCTGCTTCCATGAGTGTTGATGGTTGATCCGAGCAAAATGTAATCTTTGACAACTTCAATCTTTTCCCCATTTATATGGATGTTGTTTATTGGTCCAGTGGTAAGGATTTTTGTCTTCTTTACACTGAGGCATAACCTATAATGAAGGTTGTGGTCTATGATCATCATCAGTATTTTAAGTCCTCTTTGCTCTCAGCAAGCAAGGTTGTATCATCTGCATATACTGCAGGCTGTTAATGAGTCTTCCTCAATCCTGATGCCACAGTTTTCTTCATATAACCCAGCTTCTCAGATTATGTGCTCAGCATACAGATTGAACGGTGGTGGCTGTGTGCCATGGAGTCGGTTCTGACTCATAGTGACCCTGTACAAGGTTTCCAAGGCTGTAAATCTTTACAGGAGCAGAAAGCCTCATCTTTCTCCTGTGGAACAGCTGGTAGTTTCTAATTGCTGACCTTGAGTTTAGCAGCCCAATTCGTAACCACTATGCTACCAGAGCTCCTTACAAATTGAATTGTTGTTGTTGTTAAGTTCCATCGAGTCGGTTCCGACCCATAGCGACCCTGTACAGGGTTTCCGAGGGTGTAAATCTTTACGGGAGTAGAAAGCCTCATCTTTCTCCCGCAGAGCGGCTGGTAGTTTCGAACCGCTGACCTTAAGGTTCGCAGCCCGATTTGTAACCACTACGCTACCAGAGCTGTGGTGAAATAATACAACCCTGGTGCATACCTTTCCTAATTTTAAACCGTTCAGTGTTCCCTCCTCCTGTTCGAACAACAGAAGAAATATTAACAAGACAATTGTGTGCTGTCTACTTGGTTTTGACTCATACTAACCCAAAATAGGGTTTCCGAGTACAGCGGGAGGGTTTAAACTGCTCACCTTGTGGTTGGCTATCAGGTAAGATAACTAACTACACAACCAAGCTGTCTGGTAAGATAACTACACTACCACACCAGGGCCCACCAGACAGACAGCAACAAGAAAATGAGTACTGCAGTGCAATGGATTGCTTTGGTATGGCTTTTCTCATGGTGGTCTTGTGACCTTAACAGGATGATAATGGGACTATGCTAATGTTTCTGATCCATTAAGGGGATTGGACAGCCTTCTAGGGATGCAAATAAGGTACATGAAACTCCTGTAGGGGTGGTGGTGGCGTTAAGTGCCATTGAGTCAGTATTCCATGCTGCTAAGTTGTTAAGTGCCATTGAGTCAATTCTGACCCATAGCGACCCTGTATAGGGTTTCCAAGGAGCAGCTGGTGAGCTTGAACCACCGACCTTGCAGTTCAACCGACTTTGCAGTCCGACGCATTAGCCCAGTGCCACAAAAATAAGATGTATGGAACCTAAAGGGGGAGTTGGTCCATTTTGTCCTACCTCTAGGTGTAAAACTGCCAATCCCAGAACAGAGTGGGGACCTGAACATCACCAAGAGCTAAGAACAGAGTGTATCCTTTGGCCCTAGAGTCCCTGTACTGGGAGCCTTAGACGCAGGACCCAGAAAGAGCTGGGAACACTGGAGACAACCGCTGACAGAAATGGTGGCAGAGAAATGGCAGCAGCAGAGCCAGGAAATCACAGGAGGCACCCAGTGGGTGTGCTGACCCACACAACAGGAGAGCCCAGTTGTCTTTGGGCAGGGTGCTTGCTAGCAGAGGGGGCCAATTCTGGGCACTTGGAGGCAGGGCTGGGTGGTCCACAGACCCAAGCAGCAAGAGAGCTGAGTGCCTGGCAGTGTGGGTACCTTGGGCACTTCCTGGCAGAGTGAAACCCTTTCTATGGAGTCCTGGTGTGGCACTGTAGGATCAGCACAAGGTTGGTGGTTCAAACTCACCAGCAGCTCCTCAGAAATCTTATACAGGGTCATTGAGTCAGTGATACTTAACATCAAAGGAGCTTTGTAACTTTTGTCCCAGCAGAACATCAGAGAAGGGCAGAGGGGCAAAGAGCGGTTTGCTTGAGGGCATGGCGGAAAAGATCCAAGAACTGCACCCGGTCATTCCTGAACCTGCAGTTACTCCCCTGACAGCGGCTGCAATAACGGGCTCTAAAGTGGCAAGGGCTGTGAGGGCGGCCTAGTGTTGTGCTCCCTCGTTCAAGGGCTGTGAGGGCGGCCTAGTGTTGTGCTCCCTCATGCAAGGGCTGTGAGGGCAGCCTAGTGTTGTGCTCCCTCATGCAAGGGCTGTGAGGGTGGCCTAGTGTTGTGCTCCCTCGTGCAAGGGCTGTGAGGACGGCCTAGTGTTGTGTTCCCTCATGCAAGGGCTGTGAGGGCGGCCTAGTGTTGTGCTCCCTTGTTCGAGGGCTGTGAGGGCGGCCTAGTGTTGTGTTCCCTCATGCAAGGGCTGTGAGGACGGCCTAGTGTTGTGCTCCATTATGCATGGGGTCGTTAGGAGTCAGAACCAACCAATGGTACTGAACAGTAACTTCCTGAATCCACTCGGGAATTGTGAGGTCACGACAACAATTGGGTACAGCCGAGAAGTAGAGTGTCTGGGAGGGCAGGCTGGTGTCAGAATTGGTAAAAAGGTAGAGCATGTCTGACTTCTCCCTCCTAAAAATCAGCCTTGGCCGGTTGCTGGTGACGGTTCTCCTCCTCCTTGTGCAGTGAGGAGGTCAAGCACTCCCCCAAACACCCAGCAGGCCAGCTTTAAAAGTGTGCACTATGACATTATTGAAGAGCGAAGATGACTTACCCGAGTGGCTTCTCACACACCTTGGCGGGGAGTAAGGCCTGCTCCATCTGCTCAGCAAACATCGATAACTCAATTTGGCATCACCTGACTCTGGAGGCAGGTGGGAGACAATGGTCTCCTTTCCCAAAAGGGAAACCTGGGCCCACTAGTCACATGGGGGCCAGAGACCAGGCTCACTTTCCCACCTGAACAATCAGACACCAGATTTGTTGACAAGTGGGTGTTAAGACCCTACCTTGGACAGGAAATCAGCAACCAGCCCCACAAGGTGAGCTTCGGGCAGAGCCTAACACGGTTCTTATCTTTCCAGAACTCCGGAGAACAGGCCATGGCCCTACCTGGTCATCCCCTGCATCTGGACCACACCCTCTCCAGAGGCACAGGTGAGGTTGTCCTGGGGTGGGAGGTGGCCGAAGCAGGAACACAGATACAGACCAGCTAGAGCAGAACCATCTTTATTCCTGTGCTCGGCCTCAGCCTCCAGCACTGGTTCTGCTGGGAGAGCCACAGAGGGGCGACTCTCGGGTCCTCAGTAGATGCCATAGCTGGGTTCGTGACTGTCCCTGTACCGGTCCAGGTAACGCAGGGGCTGCCGGTGGGGGAACCGCTTCTGCTTGGGGTGGTAAGGGGGTGGCCGCACAAACTCAAACACTGGCTCCCGCATGTCTGCCAAAGACAGTTAGTAGTCAGCGGGCCAGGTGAGGCCCTGGCGGTGTCTGAGTACCACCAACCCCTCCTGTGGCCCTCTCACACAGGAGACACCCCTGACAGGTCGCAGCTGCCTTACTGAGGAGCTGGTGGAAGACTTGGGTAACAGAGTCATCCCAGCGGCACTGGAAGAAGGCCAGGCCTGCCGGAGTCATGGTCTCTTGATGTTTCTTGTAGAAATCAAAGGTGTGAAAGGTCCGCTGAGCCAGCTGGTAGCTGTAGGAAGAAGACTTCATCTGGGAGAGGGGCCCTAGAGCCCTGAACCGCCACCCACCCATGCCCCTTAGGGTCTAGTCAGTCCCCAGGCCAAAGTCAAGAAACAGGAGGGCTGAGCCTGACCAACATTCTTAGGGAGCTGGCCGAGGCCTGAGGATGTGGGGTGTGGATTACCAAGGTGACGGGCGGGCGTCCTCAGAGAAGTCAATGGGCTTGTCCTGCTTAAAGAGCAGGAAGACAAAGCGATGGAAGCCGGAGCCTCGGGCAGGGAAGGGTGGCAGGTAGGGACACATCTCCTGCCCTCTAGCCACCTGGTTGCCGGGGATATTGGTCCTGGTGGGAGGGAAGATGTGGGAATGGTCATTCAAGGGAACAGCTGGAATGACCCCTGTACCCGCCCCAGGAGAACCAGGAGCACAAGCCCATCAATGACCTCAGCCTATCCAAAGGACTAAAAGCAGCCCATCTGCCACTGGCCCCGATTTTGCCCAGAGCTCCATGGCCGGGGCCACTGCCTGCTCTCTACTCGCTGGCCTGGCACTCAGCCAGGGGTGAGAGAAAAGAGGCGGCCAATCTGAGAGAGCAGGTCACAGCTGATGAGGACAGCAGTGTGCCCTTCCCCACGTGATCCTCACCACTAACCTCAGGGTGGGTAAGCCACCACCCTAGTTTTACAGATGAGGCAATGGGCTCACAGAGATCAAGAAGCAAATCCAAACCCACAGGGTTGACCCGTGGTGGGGCCAAGGCGGAGACTCAGGTCCCGTGCTCTTCCCCCCACCTCCGGGTACTCACAGCATCCAGTGGACATACTCGGCGTCTGGCTTCAGCAGGTGGCCGTCTGCACATAAACACAACCACTGAGTGTGAGGCTGCCGCCCGCTCCGCTGCCAGGAGCTGGGGATACAGCTTCCCAGCAGTCCCTCCTCTGTGGCCCACAGCCCAGGAGCCCAGACACCTACCCAAGTTGGTGAGCAGCAGTGTCCACAGGGAGCCCTCGTCTGCCTCGTATGTTACTTCTGGGGCCTGGGCAGCCTGGTGGGGGGAGAACAAGAGAGCCATCACCCCCACCAAAGACAGACAAGCTCAAGGGGGTCTTGAAGGAGGGAGAGCCCACTCTACTCCAAGAGCTCTTGGCTATCCTTCAGTCAAAAGGGTAGAGCCACCCATGGGAGGGCCCTTAGGACAGCAGCCAATCACAGGCATGCGCGAAGATGCCGCCTCTTTTCCTTCCATTTTTTTTCTTTGAAACGATCACAGTATTGTTTGTTGGTGATACTGTTCGGTACCAGAGAGTCGGTTCCACTGTGGGACAGAGTAGAACTGCCCCACAGGGTTTTTCCAGCAGAAATCTTTTGGAAGCAGATTGCCAGGTCTTTCTTCTGCAGTGCCCCTGAGTGGTCAAAACGCTAACTTTTCAATTAGCAGCTGAGTGCTTAACTGCTGTGCCACCAGGGCTCCATATGGGATTGTTTCCTGACAACTGAAAATCCCAGTTCAGCCAGACTATGGGCATGTGCAGGCACACACAGGGCCAGGGGAGGAGTTACCTCAGTGGGCGTGACCTCGTTCCCATGGTACACGGGCACCAGGTCCTCCTCACTCACAGCATAGGCCACATGCAGGGGCACTCGGGGCACGAAGGTGGCACCGCGGAACAGGTCTCGGTAGAGACCATAGTACTCGGCCAGGCGTTGCTTGTGGTGGGGGCCACACGTCTTCTCCCAATCGGCCTGCACCGCCTCCAGCGGGATCTGCACTGGGAAGGAGGATACTGGCTGGGGTGCAGTGTGTTTGTGGGGGTAGTGTGGGAATGGGGTGCAGTGTGGGGGTGGGGGTAGAGGATGAGTGTGGATAGTTTGGGAGTAGAGTACAGTGTTGGGAGGGGCAGTGTGGGGTGGGTAGTGTGAGAATGCAGCGTTGGAAAGTGCAGCGTGGGGGTGGGGGTAGAACAAGGCCGAGAAACAGCACGAGGGTTCAGTGTGGGGGTGATGATGTAGTGTAAAGGGTTAGAAGTGGGGAGACGGCCTGCCCTGCTTCAGGAGGCTTACCTGTGCGGAGTCGGGCAGCCCGCTCTGCCTCCGCATTGGCCCGCAGCTCCCGGAGTATCTTTTTCCGCTCCAGCAACTGCTGGGCCCGGCAAACCTTGGGCGGAGGCAGTCCAATGTCAATCTTGTCTCTGGGATCTGTTGGGTGAGCGGGGTCAGGCTGACGTGGTACAGACACCTGCTCCTGCCTGGTCCTCTCATTCCCCAAAGCTGTGTTGGGCAAGCTTGGTCTTTAACCCACAAAATTAAAACACTCTGTGTAACCTGCTTCAGACTCCACAGAGCCCAGCTGCAGAACAAGCTGGATACAACCTGAGATCGCATTTTCTGATCCCTAAATCAGGTGGTGCTGGAGGATAAGCACCGGACTATTAATTGCAAGGTTGGCAGTTCAAACCTACCAGCTGCTATGCAAGAGAAAGATGAGGCTGTCTACTCTCATAGATTTGCGGCCTTGGAAACACTTTACAGGATCTCTGTAAGCTGGAATCATCTCAGCTGCAGTGGATTTCATTTGCTTTGCTTTTGGTAAACCACGTCATAAGGAGTCCCTGAGTGGTGTAACAGTTAACTCTCTTGGCTCCTAATTGAAAGTTCAAGTTCATCCAGAGGTGCCTTGGAAGAAAGGCCTGGTGATCTACGTCCTAAAATTCTGCCACTGGAAATCCTACAAACACAGTTCTAGTCTGACACACACAAGGGGATCACTAGGCGTTGGAATCCACTCAACGGGCAATCCGACTCACACCATCTCTTAGGGTTCCCTTGTTGTTGTTTGCCATCGAGTCGGTTCCGACCCATAGCGACCCTGTACAGGGTTTCCGAGGGTGTAAATCCTTACGGGAGTAGAAAGTCTCATCTTTCTCCCGCGGAGCGGCTGGTAGTTTCGAACCGCTGACCTTAAGGTTCGCAGCCCGATTCGTAACCACTACGCTACCAGAGCTCCTTGGGTGGTGGGAAATTACAGCACATAGTCATCCCAATTACACTCACAACTGACCTGCGTCCCGGGGTGGGGGGTGGGGGTGAATTAATGGCTGAGGTTAGAAGGATTTTAGAGAAGAATTTCTCCCCCTTTAAACTGCAAAGCACACACATCACCTGGGATATGTGCTGAAATGCAGATTCTGGGCCAGCATGTTGGGTAGGACCTGAAATTGCATTTCAAACAGCATCCTAGATGATACACATTCCACAGCAAGGCCCTAGAAAGCTCTTAACCCAAAGCTTCGACCTGTGCACCTCACACAATAGGAAGTAATACGCATTTGCGCCGTATCAGGGACGGGGTTAGTTTGAAGATTCCAATAGAATTCTTGGTGATGGAAACACAGTTTTACACTTGGGGAAACAGAGCTCTGGGAAGTCCCCCCTAAGAGGCCCCCGTGGGCTGCGTGGTCGGGCGTGGGACAGCAATGAACCAGCGACAAGGGGCTGTTCAGATGGAGAGCGTGAAGATGTCTGATGGCACGAAACCATCAACAGTGTCCACAGGGCCGGCAAAGGTCGCTCCGTGCCCGCGGAGGGTGTCAGCGCCCCAGGCCCCCTGCTCCCGACGTCCCGCACCTGACTTCTCCTCGAAGTATTCCCGGTAGGTTCGCCACCAGTGTGGGGTCCGTGCCTCCCGCTCCGCTAGGCGCCGGTAGCGCTCGAAGCTCCGGTACTTCTCCAGCCGCTCCAAGTTGCTCACATCGATGTGTTCGTTGGGCATCGGCCCCAGCCGGGCGGCCCGGCGGCTGCAGGCAGCTGCGAGTAGACAGCAGGTCGTCAAGGCGACCTGGCCCTTCGGGAGCCGCGGCGGCGCTGGCTCGGGCCCAGCGGTTGGGCTAGAAAGTCTTCCCGGCGCCCCTGCCCTTAGGTCACTAACCTGAAGTGCTGAAGGTCCGCCATCTACAGCCATACAGTGCAGGTCGCCACCAGGGAGCCGCCATCTTCGCCCAGGTCGGCGCCGCAGCCGCCGCTCCTAGGACCCGGACAGAGGTGGCCGCACAGCGCCTGAGCGCGCCACGGAAAGCCCCGCCCCTTAGCCTTGGCCCCGCCCACCTCGCGGTTCCGCGCGTCGCGGATCTCTAAGTCACGCTCTCGCTCAGGCCCCTGACTCCTCCCTTTCCCGGAGGCCAGAGCACTTTCCGTCGGGACAGTAGAAGGTGCCGTGCTCCGGAAGTGCCTGGACGGCTGGGCGGGACTGTGAGCGGCCGGGGTCCATGCCCGCTGCCACCACCAGGGGGCGGCACAGCCTGCGGGCTGTCAGCCGCCGGTCCACGGTCCGCGACCGCGAATCCACTAGCTCTGAACGCGGCACCGCCTGTTTCCATTGATGCAGCATCTTGGGAGAGGAGACAGTGACGAGCTCGGATCCTGAAGACTGATTGCCTGGGTTCAGATTTCAGAATGACTTTCCCATTGCCCTTACTGCTTCTTCTGCACACACACACAAACTGGGTAGTGGTGCTTACCACATAGGCTAAAGCGTTTGTGTAAAGTTATTCTCCTAGCTTTTCCAATTATTACCCACACAGCAATAAAAATGACCTGGGTAGCTAAACCACAAATGGAATCGTGTCCGTGTCCAAACCCTCTTGCAGGACTCAAATGCTGCTCTTGGGATTCATTTTGATGGGAAAACCTGGTACCTCTGACAATTTGGCTCCTTTGACCTGGAACTTGAGCTTCAACTACACTGAACCTCCATCTACTTTGGCACACTTGCTCCTTCTGGCCACAGGGCCTTTGCACATACTGTCATTCCTGTGGCCTGGGTACCTCCTGGTACCCACTGGAATGGACCTTCTAGGATGCCCCAGGCCTTGTTTTCAGGTCAGCTGCTCTGGCACCAGCAGAGGCTTGGATGCTTACATCATTGATAAGACAGAATGAGGGGGTCTCTCCATCCAGCAAAAAGTGGCCATTTGGTTTGTGTAAATGACAGCCACACAGCTAACTTTCTCACCCTCACTTTGAATTCACCCAACAGCAAACACCTACTATGCCACAGACAAGGCATGTTGAGGGGGAAGTAAAGGTAAGACTTAGTTCTGCCTATAAGGAGTCACACTCATTTGTGACATTCCCGAGTGTAGAACCCAAGGCTGTTGGTAGTCCCAGGCTTTGAGAGCTTCATTCTCGTCTTATTGTTTTAAGTTGTGCCTTCCTTTGCCTTTAGTTTTGGAATTCTTTATCTACTTGTCTACAAACTGCCACCCTTCAGCCCAGCCCCAAATCATGCCAACCTACTCAAGAAACGAAGTTCCCCTAGCCCTCCAGAGTCCCAGACTCAGACACTGGTCAACCAAGTGCTGATATTCTCCCCCCCCTCCCCTCCCCTAAGGTCTTAAGTTTTGAGAACTTACCCTCCTAGAACCCCTTAAGCTGGGGCTTGCTTAGAATTGTTTGGAAGGCCTTGCACAGGTTCCCATGGCTCACCTTTAAACAAAGAGCTCTTGAAATGAAGTAATGCCCCCCACAGTCTTAGTGTTTCTCCACCCAAACAAAATCCCACTGCCATGGAGTCTTCAGACTTACAGCAACCTTCTAAAACAGCAGAGCTATTCCGTAGGGTTTCTGAGATTATAAATCTTTGGAGGAGCAGAAAGTCTTATTGTTCTTCCACAAAGTGGCTGATGGGTTCAAACTACCGGCTCAACACTTAACCCACTGTGTCACCAGGGTTCCTGATTTAATTAAGCATCAGCGCTGTGACCTTGCGTTGTTTACAATTTGGGGGAATTTACAGTGTTTACAGTGGTGTTGCTGGCTGGTTTTCTCTCAGGGCTACAGTGAACACATCTAAGAGGCACAAGCACTGATGAAAAACGAAAACAAGCCTGTTGTCGATGAGCCAACTCTGACTCAGCAGCGACCTTGTAGGACAGGCCAGAATGGCTCCATGGTGCTTCTTAGGGGGTCATCTTTAAGGAAGCTGACTGCCTTGGAGAGGCTGAGGGGTTCAAACTGCTGACAGTCAGTTCCTCGTAGTGCTTAATGCACTGCACCAACATGGCATCTTATAAACTGAGTCACGGTGAATTATAATTCAGTCATTAACATAGTTGTTGTTAAGTGCTGTTAAGTGGATTCCGATCCATAGCGACTCTAGTGTATAATAAAATGCTGCTGGTAATTTGTACTAAGAATGTCACGATTGCTGTCACCATTTGTCTTCAAGTCCCCATCTGGGCCCAGCCTCACCAGATAGTGAACAGTATGCTGTTGTTGTGAAGTGTTGAGTCAGTTCCGACTCAGAGTGACCCTATTACAGGGTTTCCAGGAGTGGCTGGGGGTTGAAACCACTGGCCTTGTGGTTCAAACTGACCTCTTAGCCCAGGAGTTTTCTTCTTATTGTTGTTGTTGTTATGTGCCATGGAGTCGGTTCTGACTCATAGCGACCCTGCACAGGGTTTCCGAGGCTGTAAATCTTTACAGGAGCAGAAAGCCTCACTTTTCTCCTGCGGAACAGCTGGTAGTTCCGAACTGCTGACCTTGCGGTTCGCAGCCCAATTCATAACCACTAGGCTACCAGAGCGTGACAAAAATCAAAATAGTATGGTATTGATATGAATAGACAAGCCAACAGAAAAAGAAAAAAAAATTAGAAATTAAAGTTATTTAAAAAAAAAATTAGAAATTAAGCAATGGGAATGGGTCCAAAACAAAGCTGGAAGTATTCAGTAAATCAGACAAGAACCCCTCCACGTGCTGGCTTCCTATTGGCTGGAATGGGACAATTTACTGCTTGGGAAGTCATGGTGATTTTACCGGTTGGTCTGTCCCTGGGTCTGCAGGGGATCATTGTCACTCCTCTTTATCCCCTCTCCTTTGAGCCCCCTGCTAGCTATGGAAGGCGCCCCCGGGCCCATACATGGAGAACTGAGAAAGCACTTGTTGGGGGCGGAGGCCCAGATGCTAGGCTGTGGCTTTCTAGGACTACCGCCTCAGGGCCTGCACACCATGGCTTCAGGCAAGTGAGGAGCCTAGCGAAGACTTCCCTCCTGGGGGCCCCCAGCCCCTGCTGTCCCCTCCCGGTGCCCATGCTGGGCTAGTTGAGCCCTCAGGGTGCCGTGCAGACAAACCTGGGGCAGTAAGGCCAGGTGGAATTTGAGGTCACACCTGGTGGGCTGCACATCCCTGCATCCATGGTGCCTGGACCACTTGACTCCTTCATGGGACACGCCTCCTATGGTACCTGCCGCCTTGCAGGGTGAGGGTAGAAGGCTCCTCATGGGCCCACTAGAGAGCAGCCCCTTCCTCTGGCCCAACCAAGAAGCAGCTCAGCCCCAGACCGAGTGCCTGGAAGAGGGGAGGGTCCAGAGCCCAGGAGGCGGTCAGACCCTGGGAAGTGAGCTGGGAGGCTGTGGGGCTGGAGAGCCAAAGCTGTCAGTGAAGGTGATGTGTGTCTGAGAAACCCTCATCACCATGCTGTCCCCAGGGGGTGGCCAGCTTTTGGCCGCGGCTGAGACACTCAGACAGAAAGTGGCAGCATGCTGTCAGGAAGAGCTGTAATCAAGCCGGGGCTTCTAGAACCTTCCCTGGCACCTGGTGGGAGGGAGCACCATCTCTGTGGAACTGGCTGTCCACGGCAGAGGGTGAGAGCCCTAGGGTGTGGGTGAGTGTGTGTGTGTGGTGGGGGGTGGGGTGCTGCAGCCAGAGCGCCTCTCAGGCTGAATGTGACGTTACATTGTAGGGTGCTTTCTTCAGCGTCTCCAAGAAGAACTGTTCATTCTCCAAGAAGTCTCGGTCCTGAAAGGCAGAGTTAGTGAGCCATCACATCTTCTAGTTCCACGAGCAGAGAGGCTGGCTCTTGGGACTGAGCGGGAGGTAGGGTCCTGGGGTGCTCACTGAGCTGGCCCTCCCCAAACGGCCCCCTCCCCTGTCCTCCATGGCTCAGGGCAGCACAGGCCTCCCAGTCCTGGCAAAGGCCCTTCTGAGCTGTGTTCTTATCAGCATGTGACTTCAGAGCCTCAGTTTCCCTTCATGTAAAATGGAGATGACATGACCTCTGTGCAGGGATTCAACACAGAGCTGGGCACATATGATATGTTCAAATAGAGGTTACTATTATCATTGTTTATTTTTTCTGTTGTTGAGTCGATTTCGACTCACAGCAACCCTGTATGGGGTTTCCAAGGAGCAGCTGGTGAGTTTGAAACACCAAACTTGTAGTTCAAACCGACCTTGTGGTCTAGTACTTATCCTACAGTGCCACACCAGGACTCCAAGTGACAAGTGCTTGCTACAAAACCTGGCCAATAAGGTCTCAACAGACGCTTACTAACAAGCTGCATTACTCTTCCCCTCCAGGCGGTGGCGCCAGCCCTTCCTGGACCCAGGCTGCCCCTTCTAGCTTCTGCAGGGCACTGGGAAGACCTTGCTCATGACCAGAGAGCTCAGACCTCCCCTAGAGTCCATGGAGAGTGGGCCTGGGCTGGACTCTGCTCCGGACACTCACCTGCTCAGCTGTGTGTTTCAGAAGCACCATTTTAGCGTGGAGGTATGAGGGTCCCAGGCTGGCTGGCAGCTGGCTGCCCCGTGGGCTGATGGTCACCGAAGTCCTGGTGGCTGAAGAAGCGGAGGACAAGATGTGAACAGGAATAGCAAGCTGGTCAGAGTGGATCCTGGGCATTCTAGCACTGAGGGGCGAATCAGCTTCTCGGGGGCATAGAACCACAACTCTTAAAATTTTTTAAAAGTGCTCACAGGATTTTTTTTTTTCCTTAAACAAGACATTTGACTTTTTTAGTATTCAACAAAACTCCATTCTTTTTGATTTAGCTTTCTGACTCTGTGCTGCTCCTCAGTAAGGAAAGCACACTCGATCCTGTCATGGACACATTCAGCACCCACAGAAACACTAGAGGCCCTGCTGACCTGCTTCTTTGGGACAACCTGATGACAGCCTTAGGTCTCACAGCAGGGACCCCTCAGGTCAGCCAGGGCACACACAGGGTGTGATTTTGGTACTTTACCAATCTTCTTGGTATGGAGGTAAACAATTCTATTACCAGGGGTTTGGGACAGCCTAGTTTTGTTAGATAGAGGCTGTATTGTAGGACAGCCTATGATAGTATGTCAAACGCTAGACCATTCTGCAAGTCTCTACACAGCGTCTCTGAAGAGGAAGAAGGGCTCATATGAATTTTACCCAGCAAGTCCACTCTTTGGAATCTAGTCAGTGGAAACCATCAATCTAGGCACACAGTTTGCGCACCGAGATTCCCACTGAGGTGTTGCTATCATAGTGCAAACTTCAGTAGGGTGCTGTAATGGGAAATCATGCAGATTAAGAATTCTGATTACATGTTTAATTACTTACATGGAACCATGCTCCAAGTGTACAGTAAGACTAGCTGCTGTCAAGTAGACTCCAACTCATGGTGACCCCATGTGTCAGATTACAACTGTGCTGCACAGGATCCCCAAGGATTGTTTCGGGAAGCAGATTGCCAGGCCTTTCCTCTGAGGCATGTTAACCATTTGCACTACCCAGGGGCTCCGTATGTATATGAGTGCGGGAAAAGAAATCATGCTAGAAAATAGCATAGTGCATTATGTTTTTAGAAACAAAAACAAGATAACAGTGGTTCTGTCTGGAGAGTGGAGTTGAGGGTGATTGCTTTTAGATCGGCCCTTCTCTGGCTCTGGCGTGTCTACAGCTGACGTGCATTACTGTTAACGGGCTCTAGCTAGCTGTGCCTTACAGCTCAGGGCGCCTCCCCATTTGTGGCTGCTTGCCAGCAGGCTCTAAAAGTTTTACAAGTCGGGTCCACGTGTTTCCTTCCACTCACCGTTCAGGCTGGGGGCTGCTGGACCCTGCGGCCTGGAGAGCAGCCCCAGGAGGCCAGAGGGCAGGTCCTGTCGGACGCGGTCCAGCTGCTGTCTCTGCTGGACCAGGCTCAGATGTTCCTGTCCCCATCCCCCGGGAGAGAGAAGGGCCACTGTGAGCAGGGAGGTGGGCGAAGGCCAGGGGCAGTCGGGCGCAGAGCCGGGGTGGCTCCTTGCCTGGTGCATGTGCTGCTCCTGCTGCCGCAGCTGCTCCTGCTGCCGCTGTACCCGCTGGAGCCTGGCCTGGTGCTCCGACTGCACCTGCTGGGCCTCGCACAGCGCCCGCTCCCCAGCCTCGTACTTCTCTGAGGCCACCTGCAGGAAGAAGCCAACGAAGGGTGAAGGTGGATGGGCTTAGATGCCTCTGCTGAGCCCCGGGCTAGACACGCACCTTGCTCATGCCTTCCACCTCCTCGGCACGGAGCCTGACGCGTAATGCGGCTGCGTTGACCCGCTCCTTCTCCAGCTGGAGCTCCTGCCGCTCCCGCTCCAGTGCCTCCCGCTCGGCCGCTAGCTGGTCCTCCTTGGCACGGAGCTCACTGGCCCGGATCTTGAGCTCAGCCTGTTCCTGGAGACAGAACACCTGGCTGAGTCTCTGTTGGGAATCTTTGTCCAGCCTCTAGCTTTTGACCTGAGCTCTGGTCACTGCAGGCTCCATCCCTGACACTGGGCAAGAGGCAGTGTGACAAGTGGCTCAGAGGAGGGGCTGGGGCTGGGGGCCTGGGCTGGGTGCGTGCAGCTTCTTACACGCCAGGAGACCACTGCAGGTCTCTACTTCTCTGCACCTCGTTCCTTATGTCTAACATGTCTCCGTTGTGGGCTGGAATGAAACGCACTCAGGACACCAGAGGAGGAGGTTAGGACTATTGCTCCATGACCATTGCTTTCATTCTACACTGTCATCTTGCTCCACTCTGCTTTCCCCAGAACTACAGCTGCCACGGTATTTCCAAGAGCTTCACAGGCACGTGAGAGTTAGCCAGTGAATAAAGGACGACCATAGAAGAACTGATGCATTTGAGCTGTGGTGTTGGAGGACATTGAAAGGACCATGGGTTGCCAGAAGGACAAACAGATCTGTGCTGGCCAGGATGAGCAGATTTTGTCTCTTATACTTTGGACATGTTATCAGGAGGGATCGGTCCCTGGAGAAGGACATCATGCTTGGTAAAACGGAGGGGCAGCTAAAAAGAGGAAGACCCCCAATGAGATGGACTGGCACAGTGGCAGCAGCAATGGGCTCATGTGTGACAATAGTTGTGAGGGTGGAGCAGGACCTGTTGTCGGAACCAACTCAACAGCATCTAACAACAGATGGAGGAGTGGGCCAGAAAGGGGACCCCCACAGGTCCTACCTTGGCCAGACTGACGAGGGTGCCTTCTCGCTGGGTGTCAGCCTGCAGTGCCCGCTCTGCCTCACGCTCGGCCCGATCCTTGCTCTGCTTCTGCTGTGCAGAGAACTCAGCCCACTCGGCGGCCAGGCGTCGCCGCTCCTCTGCGCACTTGTGCATGACGACCCTCTGCTCCTCCAGCAGGGCGCTCTGGGGGCGGTCAGGATGTGAGGCCAGGCGTGGGGCACCGGCGGTGGTGGGAGACACGCGAGAGCCGGCCGTGTGGACTCACCTTGGCACGTTCCAGCTCCTCCCTCTCCATGGCCGTCTGCTGGGCCAGGACCTTCCTCTGTTCCTCCAGACAGCGCTGCGCAGACTCGGCCTTGGACTGCTCTGCACTCACCCGCCAGCGCTCCTGCCGGCACCACATCAGGCTGAGCGCTGAGCAGACCCACCCCAACGTGCCACAGAATCCTTTCCAAAGAGGTGACAGTGAGGGGTGCCTGAGAGAAGCTGTTGGGACCATCTGACCCTGGGATTTCCCCAGGGGGCCCTTGGGCCCCCGCTGGTCCTCAGGTTACCAGACACCAAGGCTCAAGACCCATGGACTGCACCTGGCAACTCAGGAGGGAGAAAGCGCCTCACCACTGTTCTGGGACCCGCCGCCGGCTTCAGAGGCTCCACTTGGCTGCTCCCCACCAGCCAAGCAGCAAAGAGCAGCTTCACTCTGTGCTAGGGCAATGTGGGCACCTCCGAGCCCCAGGCTAGGTCCCCGGGCTGGGCCTGAGACAGGTGTGATGGAGTTTGCAAATGTTGCTCAAGATGGCGAATAACCACAGCTATGTGTTGCTATGTCTACAGGGCATGGAAAGCGTCAGCAGTAGAGCTCTGACTAGTGGCCAGGTCAGTGTCTTCTCTAATGTCTCCTGTCCCTGGAGTGTCCAGGCATAATGAGCATGAGAAACTTAGCAGGTGATGGCTTGGCAATGAATAAAGCCTCCTCGTAGAGATGAGACATATACAGGAGCTCAGAAGCACATCTGCTGACTCGGCTCCGGAATGGCGTTTAGTGGCCACAGGGAAGGACAAGTGGGCAAAGCAGTTGGACAGCCAGGGCAGGCTGTACCCAGGAAGGTGGCGCTAGAGCTGTGAGTGGGTGATGAGGTGGGAGTGTCCAGTGGGGCAGCTGGGGCAGGGTGACCAGGAGAAGAGAGGCGGGAGCAGGGGGCAGACCCCATTAGAAAGGAAGCCCTCAGGCCCCTGCACTTGAGTGGCTGTGGAGAAGGGGTCAGGGCACAGCGCTGGCAGAGAACCCTGCGTGCCCGGGCCGGTACCCACCTGCTCCAGTAGCCGGCTCTGCTCACCCAGACGCGCCTCCATCTTCACAATGACTTCCTGGAGGCGACCCCGCTCCTCCTCCATGTCTCGGTGCTGCCGGCTCAGCCTCTCCTGCAGGGCTGAGGAGTACCACGTGACTCACTGCCCACCCACCTCACTCATCCCAGGTGGGCTCTTTCCAACGAGGGAAGGCCAGGGAAGCTGGGAGGGGTACCTCGGAGCTGTTCGTCACGCTGCCGGACCCCCAGCTCCCACTCCTGCGAGGTGGTGAGGTGCGAGGCCTCCACGCGGGAGGACAGCTCGTTCAGGCTGCTGGAGAACTTCTCCATTTGTTCGATGATGCCGTTCAGGGACCTGCAGGAGGAGGAGGTCATTCCGTGCTGGGGGTCCCAACACCACCCCTCCAGTCGGCGCATACCGGGTATGGGAAGTGGCACTGGTGACGGCGTCAATCTCTCGGTCCTTCAGCTGCTTCAGCCGCTGCAGCTGCTCCTCATGGTCCTTGCGCATGTCCAGGATGGACGCCCTGAGGGAGGCCCAGCACAGTGACGCAGAGACCACCACTCCCGACTGGTCACACCCCCCGTCTCCAGGCACTGCCTCAGTTTCCCTGCTCTGTCTTCTCTAACTCCTTCTGTTCTTTAGTAAAAGACCCTCGCAGAGGAAGAAAGCTGAATTAAAGCAGCTGAGGGGAAACAGACACGTTGTTCTCATCAGAAAGGAAGCCACAGTGATGCACCAGGCACATGGGTGCAATCCGTCCCCAGGGCCCCAGTGGCTGCTGCGGCACCCCCCTCACCGCTGCAGCTCCCGCAGTCGCTCCATCTCCTGGTCCTTTTCCTGCGCAGCAGCAGCTAAGCGCCGCTGATGCTGGGCAGTGAGTTCAGCTCGGGCCAGCTCAGCTTCCTGGCAGTGAGACAGGTACTGAGCCGACAGCTCCTCATTCTCCCTCCGGAGCCGCTCTTCCCGTTGCTGGTACGAAGTTTCCAGCACCTTGACCCGGCTCCTGCCAACACAACACCCAGCTGTTGAGTGAGTGAGTGTGTGAGAGAGAGAGAGAGAGAAAGAGAGAGAAAGAGTGTGTGCGTGCAGGCCAGGAAGGAGGCTGAGGGGACTGGGTCTCCCTGGAGCCGGGGTACGTGTGTGTGTGTGTGTGTGTGTGTGCAGGCCAAGAAGGAGGCTAGGGGGCCTGGGTCTCCCTGGAGCCGGGGTACCTGTGTGCACTCTCGATGAGCTCCAGGTCGGCCTGGTGCCGCTGCTGCAGACTCTTGAGCAGTAGCGTGTGCTGAGTCCGCTCCAGCTCCAGCTTCCGCACCTGGGAGAGGGTGGAGGCGCGATGGTGCCTGCAGCCTGTAGCTCACACCATTCTGCCCCCATGCCCAGCTGCATCGTCAGCCGCCCGGCCCTCACCTGAGCCTCGAGCTCGGCCAGCCGGGCCTGACTCTGCAGCAGGTCTGTCTGGAGCTGGCTGGTGCTTCCCTGAAGCTGTGTCTGTGCTGCCAGCAGCTGCTGGTGGTACTCAGGGGCCGGCGGTCGGCTCTGCGCTGCAGGCTGGGAGACGCAGTGGGAGAGATACGGAGCACATTAGTACATGCACGCTGCTCCCAGGACCCACCAAACCCTGAGCCTGCTCTGTGGCTGTGGAGGGGGGACCAGGGTAACAAGCAAGGTCACAATCGCTGCCTCTCCTGCTAGATCCTCCCTACAAACACCTGCCCCGGTGGGCCTTTGCAGAGCCTCCACACAGCCACATCTCCACAGGCCTTCACTAGGACACAGCTTGGCTCGGGTTCTTTCTGTCAGGGCCAAAGTCCCACATGGACAGCCAATCTGCTTCCTGAGTTGCCCACCACCGCCATCTCCCAAAGGGCACCTGGGTCCTAGGGACAGGACTCCGTAGGGCCACTCCTCCCACTTGGGGTGTCCTTTGAGCCCACTGGTGCCGGCAGAGGCACACTCTGCTCCTCCCAGCAGTGGCCAGGCGGAAAGTTTAGGAGATGGTGGTAGAAGTGAGCTGACTGCTATGAGGACACTCTTCTTGGAAGAGCGAAATGCTAGCACTGCCTCCGCGGGCCTGTGAGCCTCCACCTGTCTACCCTCCTTACCTGGACGAAGAAGCCAAAACCCATTGCCACTGAGTAGGTTCTAACTCACAGTGATGCTGTACAGGGTTTCTGAGACTAAACTTTTACAGGAGGAGGCAGTTTCAGCTTTCCCCACTGGAACGGCTCATTAGTTTGAACCTCAGACCTAATGGTGCGCAGCCCAGCATTTAACCCACAGCGCCACCAGGGCTCTCCTTACCTGGAGAGGCACTGAAGGTCCTGTGGGTTCCTGGGAGCTTGCAAAACAAAGCGCAGGTTCTGGAAGATCAACAGCTGAGAAATGAGTAGGGGGTCTGGAAGGCCCAGAGCCCTGGACCTGTCTTGGGGGGGGAAGGTAGTCTGCCCTCAATGACCGTCCAGTGGCACCCAGAGAAGTTTCCAGTCCCTACTCCTGACCCAAGTGAAACCCCACACTAAGCAGGAACCATACCAGGGCTGGAGAGCTCTCCAGGAGCTGGTCCCCTCTTCTGATGGCCTGCTGAGGATGCCAAGGCAGTTTGCTTCCATGTCACAGGAGACCTGGGGACACAGGTGGGGGTGTAGGTTGAAAGTATCCTTTATAGACCACAGGGAGAAAGGAAGGCATGGGAATGCGGGAAAACTCCAGGTTCCAGTAACGGACTCACCCCTGCCTGGTGGCAGGGGGGCAGGGATGCTCTCAGAGGGAGTGGCTGGGGCACCCAGCTTCAGAAAACTCTTAGTCAGTGGGGTGATGTTGTCTGAGTCCCAGGCATGGAGACCCCGTGTGAGCAGAGTGGAACTGCTCCAGAGGAGTTTCAAGGCTTAAAAGCAGATCTCTAGGAACAGAGGACCCCTAGGACCATCAAGAGGGAAAGGCATGAGCGGAGTGTGGGACCCTAACCAGGGAAACACTGACACCAGAGACCGAGGCAGAGGCAAAGGCATAGAGACATAGAGCAGCTGAGGACTCTAGACCCATGGAATGAGAAAGGCTGTGTGCTGGCGGGCAGGAGGCTGGTTTGCAAAATGTGCCCTTCGGTTGTGTAAACAAGTATGTATTTTCTGTGTGTTTTGTGTACATCAAGAAAAAAAAGAGAAACAGAGGTAAATACTGTTAACCAATAGTGCATGGAGGGGATTGTAATCACTGCAATGAAACAAAATACGGCTGGTTGAGTAAAAAATTGATGATCTGCCTGCCCTGTAAACTATCACTCAGTTCACAGTAAAAGCTTGAAAGAAAAAAGCAGATCTCCAGGCCTGTTTTCCAAGGAGCTGCTGCGTGGGTTCAAACCACCAACCTTTCTGCTAACCATCTGTGCCATCCAGGAACACCTATGTGGGGTTGATCCCCATTACCCTCGAGTGGATTCTAATTCCCAGTGACCCAGAGACCCTAATCCTATGGGCAGAGTAGAGCTGATCCACAAGGTTCCGAGACAGCACACCGTAATGGGACAGACAAGCCTCGTTTTTCTCCCATGGAGTGGCTAGTGGGTTTGAACCACCCTGCTTTGCGATGAGCAGTCCAATACTCAATCCACTGCACTAACACGGCTCCAATGCCCAGCTGATTGCTGCTGTTGTTAATTGCTGTTGAGTCGGTTCCGACTCTAACATCTGTGTAGGATTTTTGAGTGGACCAAGTGGTTCAAAGCGATCTTGCAGTCCAGGGCTTATCCTACAGCACCACACCAGCGGGCTGATAGGAGAGATGAAATGCTGAGTTGGGGTCCATCCATCTTTAAATCCTGGTGGCCTTCCACACCTCCCGCTCATCCTCTACTTCCATCGCAGACGCACCCCAACTCATCTGGCCCTGGAGGTGGCACTTTCTCCGCTGCCATTCCAAAGCCCCCGCCTCCAGGAGCTGCTTGCTCAGGCACTGGTTTGCTGGCAACAGGCTGGCTGAAAGAAATCAGTGTTGAGGGTGAAGGGAATCCATGTTCTGGGCTAGGCTGATGGGAGGGCCAGGACATGCCCCAAATGTACAGCCTGTGCCCATTCCTCATCCCACCTCCCCCGGCTCCCCTTCTCTGCTGCCATCACCCAGTCATAGGGAGTCTTCTCCCACAACTGAGGCCCTGAATGTGATGGCTGCCGCCTCCTTCCCTTACAATAACCCTCCCTGCCCGCCAGGAGCCCACACAGTGCTGGGACCGGACCAATCATCTGAAGACTTCCGAAGACTCACAGGGACACCTATATACCAGTTAAGTTCAAGTTCAAAGTTCCTTTTGGCCCACCTTAGCTTCATACGGCTTTGGACTACGGCATTGCTCAACCCGCCAAGTCCACCTCTGGCGACTCTTATCTATGTCTGTCTGCTTCCATTCCTACTTCCCTTCTCAGCTCTCAGGGTCCTTTCTGTTCTGGCCTCAGCCTCCCCGGGGTTTCAGCTGGTTTTCTCCTCAGTCATCAGCCCCAGGACTTAACCACAGTCCATCTCGGAACTACCTCAGTTTATCCCATCTTTGTTCCCTTCCGGCCTGCAAAGCTCACTCCCTGTCCTGTTCCCAGCACTGTAGTCTAGGGAATTGCCTTCTAGCCTTTGGGGCTTTCTATCACAGATGTATAGACTCCTGGTGTATAGGATAAGCACTGGACTGCAAAACACATCGGTGGTTTAAACCCATCAGCTGGTCCTCAAAAGCCTGTACAGGGTCGCTATGGATCGGAACTGACTCGGCACTTAACAACAACAACAACATGTATTTACTTCTGTGTGCGTCAGCAGAAGCACCTACAATTTGGACTCCTGGTTTTCTGCCTGGCCCAGGGCACTGTGGGCAGCACTCCTGCTCAGAGACACTGAGGGGCAGGGTTTGCCCATGGGGCACCATCTTCTTCTGGCCAAACAAGTCCACACCTTGTCCCGACAGCAGTTAGGGCATGCCTGTACAACAGCCACCCAAGGCCCTGTCCACGCCTGGGTGACAGCAAGGAGACAGTGCTCCCTACAGATGGGAGTTGTAGTAGTGAAGTGTCATCAAGTCAGTTCAGACTCACAGCGAGCCTGTGTTGATTTTCTGAGTGGCTGGTGGGTTTGAACTAACGACCTTGCGGTTAGTAGTCCAGTGCTTATCCTATAACGCCACACCAGAGCTCACAGATGGAACAGCTAGTGCCCAGAAAGGAAGAGAAGGTAAAGCTAGATGAGGGGTGTGTCCCAAACACGCTAGTTGGGTGCCAACCAAAGTTAATGGGCAAGGTTGTTCCTTGGCGCCTCCCTGCCCATTCCTCCCTTCACTACCTACAGTAGTTTGAGTCCCTACCTGCTGGGTGGGAGGTGGCCCACAGGCCCTGTTGACCTCTTCCGAGATAAGGCGTGGCTCAGCCAGTCTTCCTGTTCTGTCCCCTCAGGGGCTCCCAACTTGGAGGCCGGGCTGGCTTTCGAAGGGGAGCCTGCCCCCTCAGCGGGTGACTTTGCTCCAGAGATAGGCCGACCAGCTGAGGCTGAGTGCTGGCTGGCAGGAGGAGGTGCTGAGGGCACGGAGAACGCTGAGCCGCTCCTCCGGGTCTCTCGGGTGGGAGAGGGTGAGATCGGGTCAAAGTCGTCCTCCTTGAGGCCCAGCCAGTCGGCACCTCCCTTTCTGGGATGGATGGGGCTGGACGTGGCTGGAGTGCTCTGCCTGGAGCCCAGGTCTCCCTTGGGGTCAATGCCGCTTTCTGCTAAGAACCTACTTCAAGACAGAAGGGGGTGGCTACAGGAAAAGCAACTCATTCCCACAGCCCCCTTAACCAGCCTCCTCCTCACCGCTAAAGCTCAGGGACCTGCAGTCTGGGGTTGTCCCAGCACCAGTAAACCTAGCCTGCAGCTCCAAGCGCAGCAACAATTCCAATGCTCTTTGGTGGGCACCACAGAATTCAGTCCCACAGAAAACGGGACCAAGTCAGGAACCAGAGAAACACTAGTTTTGGCCTTCACCTCCCTCCCTTCCTGACCAGGGGCAGTAGGCTCCAACATATCAGGCCTGGGCACTGACATGTATATGAGACATCAGAGAGGCTGTGGGAGTTCGCAGGGCTGTGCCTGTAACCTTTCTAGTCTATAAGCTTGAAATTACATCAAAACAAAAGTTTACAGTAAAAGACAACTTCAAAAAAGCTTGTGGAAAGATTCCATTACTTTTTAATTCCATTTTCCACAAACTTTTGGAACTACCTTTGTATACACTGTGGACTAAAACATCAAATTCCAAAGCATCTAACCACTGGATTCATTTTTTGTTATAAATTGAGACGCGATCCCTCTGGTAACTGGCATGGCAGACCCACACGGCAGGGCTCCCTGGGAATGTGGCTGGAGGGGCCCTGTGGACTATATGTTCCCCATCTACAGCTTTCGGGAGCTTCAGGCAGCCCCAGGCCCACCTTCTCTTTTTCTTTCTGAGGAGACTACATTGGTCATGAGGAGGTGGGAGCAGGATCTGGGACAGGGCTTCCTGCTGAGGCGTCTCCTAGGCTACCTGGACAGACAGGGGCTGGCCAAGCTCTCTCTTCCTACAGCACCCACAGAGCCTAATGTCTTGCCTCAGGGTGCCTGTTTTCTGGTGGGCAACCTGCCCCTGGCGACTGGCAGGCCCGGCTTACCTGACAGACTGCCGGCGGGACTGCCGACCCTCTGAGGAGCCCACGGTGGGTTGATAGGCTCCAAAGGTGAAGTCCTCGTCACCCCAGGTATCTTCTTTGTCTGTAAATTAAGAAATTTGTGATGACAGGCTTTTTTAAAAAGCTTTTATTGTGAATTATGCGCTAGTTTAATTATATCGTTTCATTGCCATGATTACAAACCCCTCCATGCATCATCAAACAGCCAAAAGGTACACCCCGCAAGCCTGACCCCGGTCGGTGATGACAGGCTTTTGCTGAGTGGGCAGCTTGGCCATGTAGGACGGTGCAGGGGAAGCTGCTCTGGAGGAGGCAGGGTTGAGCAGCTCAGCGTTAGAGGGCATTGTGTGAGGCTCAGCTGCTCAAACTCCAGCATGCTCAAGAATCATCTGGAAGCTGTTAAAAATGCTCTTGCTGGGGCCCTGCTGCCAGAGACTCTGCAGGGCGAAGGCCAGGAAAGTGCAAAAGTAACTAGTAAAGGTTCTGAACAAACAACTCCGTAGCTGCTGTTTTGAGAAACACTGGTCCAGAGAAGTGTTTTTCAAACTACTAGTTTGTTGAGAAACCAATGAAAGGAGCCACACTGCTGTTTTATTAACGGAATAGTGCATAAATAAACTACAACCGCATACTGGATGTGGTAGAAGAATTATTTCTGGAAACTTCTCTCAGGTGTAAATGTGGAGACTACAGTGTGTGTCATGATGTGAACCTAATCTTTTACCACAGGTTGTGGGAAAGTGCGGGTCTAGAGGCCTCACCTTGCGGCCTCTGGTACTTCTTGTCCAGCTTGAACTCTCTGAGCTCGCCGGTGCCTGGGCGCGTCAGGAGTTTGGCGGCAGTGCCTCGACCCAGCAGCTCATCAAGCTTGGAGCGAGCAGGACGGGGTCCTTCCCTGCAGGGCAGGCACAGGACATGGGTGTGTGGCTGGGCAGGCCCCCGATGGCCCACGCTGCACCCTGTTGGCTACCCCGGGCCTGAAGCAGTAGCCTTCTTACTGGTCTCCCATCTGACCCCTCTCTGCTTTGGGGTTGTCTCCAAAGCCCAGGGTGGCCATGATGTCGTCCCCATCGTCAAACATTAGTTCTTGTTTCTTGCGGACCGGGGTGTCACCAGGAGTTAGAGGAATAGAGGGTCCTATAAGACAGAACGGAGTCCTGGTGTGGCGCTGTGGGTTAGTGCACCAGACTGCAAAACCGTTTAAACTGCAAGGTCAGCGGTTCAAGCTCACCAGCTGCTCCTTGAAAACCCTATACAGGGTCGCTATGGGCCGGACCTGACTTGATAGCGCTTGACAACAACACAAGACAGAACACAGGGCACAAGCCTCACCGCTTGCCTGTCCCCAACTGTGACGTCTGAATGGGTTTGTGGGGACAGGGGCTTCACTGTAATCCTGATGTTTGGGGGGAGATGGCAGGCATCCCACCTGTGCCAACTGAACCTGCCCTGGCACAGAAGCCACCCTCTCCTGCCCCTACCTTGGTCTCTAACAGGGCTGCGGCTCTGGTCAGAAGCCATTTTACCCTCTGGCACAGGTGGCCGTATGGCAAGTTCTTCCTCGTCATCTGAAAGAAGTCCAGCCAACGGGTCTTCCCCATCTCCAGACCAGGGGAGAAAACACAGTCAGACTGTAGCACTTTGTTCAGGAGGAGCAAATCCCGAGCGAGTCAGCCTTCGCATTCCAAGTACGACTGTTAGCTGCTCTTGTATAGCAACGAGTCCCTGAGCATCTGGAGTAACTCTGGTGGTGCCATGGGTTAATAACTGGTGTTCAAACCCACCAGCTTCTCCACATGACAAAACCCTTCGGAACAGATCTACTTTATCCTAGAGGGTTATTAGGAGTCAGAGTCGACACGATGGCAGCAGTTTGATTTGGTCAGCCTCAGGAGGGTTGGGGAGAGGCCCTTTGACACAGATGAGGCCCAGCAAGGGGCCAAGGAGTTGAGAGGATGGTGTTTGCCTGCAGCCCTCTACCTTGACCAGCTGCACAGCCCACCAAAAATGTACCTGAAGCCTCAGGAGGCAAGGAAAACAAAGGGAAAGGGAGCTTTCCTTATTGTTGATCAAATCTGGCTCGTGACATCTGGCTTCAAAATCATTGCAGATTTTCACAATCTTCCCTGAACTCATGAGGAACTAAACTGGTGCATCAGCTGTTTGTTCCTCCCTCGTCTGAGATATACAGTGATTCACCTCAGGCCAGACAACCAGCACGACCACCCCTCGCCAAACAGTGTCTTAGAGAAATGACTCTGGGGCCTCTGGTACCTTCAAAGGAAAACTTCCTGGACTGGTGTCCAAAGCTGCCGGGGGAGGACGATGGCTTCTTGGAAGGCGCAGAGTCTCCTTCAGGGGAGCAAAGAGAATGCGTGATGGCTGAGGTCCTCCGGCCACTTGGTGCACGGGACCCCTGGTGTGACTGACGTACGGTTTCTTCGAGGCCACAGACACAGCCCGAGGAGGGGCCTACACTCCCCAGTTTCACACAGGCTCCAATAGGGCAGTGCGGTCTGGAGGCTACTTCCTGAGCCTGGCCACAAAGCCTTCTCAGTCTCAAGTCACTCCACAGTCATGGATTTTAGGAGTTGCCCTAGGATGGGAGGAGGCTCCGCCTGGCCCCCCAGGTCCAGCTAGGTTCACTCAAAACCAAACACATGAAGCCTCAACTGGCTAAAGCAAAGGAGCTCCAGCTTATAAGGAGCGAGGTCATTAGTGCTAACAACCTTGGTCTGTACTTTCCTTTAGGTTCATCAGTAGTTAACCCCCACCAGAGGGCTATTATAGGTATAAAGAAGTCCTTGAAATTTCTTGGACGTCCCCCCCAACCCAGTGCCCAAGACCCCTATAAATTCCCTTTCTAATATCTCCTTGAGGCAGCAGTCTTGGGAGATATGCATTCAGTCTCTCTGCCTCCTGTACGTCTTAGACATTATTCCTCACTCGCTTTGCCATACCCATCTCTGAACAATCGGCTTTTTTCACTACACAGGCAGCACTGAGTTGGCCATTTTGTGTACACAGGCACACGCGCGCACTAACACCCCCAGCTAGCTCAGCCTCCCCCATCAGGGCAGAGAAGATCCACTGGGTCTAGGAATGGCCCCCCTAGGATCACCCACATGCCCAGTCTTCTGAGGAGGTCTGTGGAGCTCCCTCCCACTCACCTTTCTCGTTGCCCATTAGCTTGCCAGCAGGTTTGGAAATGCTAGGCAGCTCTTCTTTCCCAGAACCCTTTGCGGCTGTCTTGCGAGAGGCTGGATTTGACTTCTTCAGACCCCAGAGGTCTTCATCCATGTCATCCATGTCCTAGAAGAGGGAGGGAGGAGTCCCAATGGGGCCCACTCACTGGGTGACGTTGCCTCTGTTTTCCGCACATGGGACCAATGGGGACTGATGCAGACAGGAGTTCCAGAACAGTCTCTACACGCTAGTTAGAGTGTTAGCTGAACATCTCAGACAGGTGCTTCCATTGGCTTTTATTATCACTAAATAATGTTTTATTGTATTTGGGGTGAAAGCCACACTGGCTCTAACAGCTGCTGTCGGATGCTGGAGAGGGAGGGTCACAAGATTAGAACCTGCTTCCACCACCTTCTCTCAGAGGCTTAGCCAACTATGGAGCCTTCAGTTTGCAGTGAATGTGAAACAGCAGGATTCTGGCATTTCCGACACCCACAGGATCTCCCCCAGGCAGTGATAAAGGGTCCAAGGCAGAGAGATCCCCCTTCATGCAAAGTCAAGGGGAATTTTGGAGTCCTCAGCCTGCCTGAGGTCAGGGGACCAGAGTGGCCACTAGAGGCAGAGGTGTGGTGAGGAGGCTGTTCCACATAACAAATGCCCCAGAGAACACCCTGGACCAACCAGGCAGACCGGGCAGTTGGGGGCTCTGGTCACGTGACAGATACTGTGCCTGGCCACCACAGAGCTCAGTAAGGACTCGATAAATGATGCTGGGGGAGGTGGGTAGTGTGTGTGTGAATGTGTGTATGTGAGGATTCCACCTGGAAGGGGGGAGCCTGGCATCCCAGGTTGGAGGGATTCTGAGAGAAAAAAGTGAGGGAGGTACAAAAACTGAGCTTGAAAGTAGTAGTGGAGGGAGGTCAGCTCCTGGTTACAGAACATGAGACTCAAAGTCAGCACCAAAAATGGCCTGGTCAGAGGACTCCAAGGCCATGTCAGGGGTCCCAGTGACTAGCCTTGGGGAGGGAGATTCCAAGCTAAGGTCTAAGAAGAGAATCTGGAGCCAAGCAGGGAGCACACTCCATTCCTTAAGGCCTCACAAGACTGAAGTCAAGAGCTCAGCTCGGCTCAGGAAGCAAAGGGCTAACCTAAAGGGTCAGTGAACCAAGGGGCAGGCAGGAGGGGGCCCACTGACTGGAGGGTCGATACTGTGGGTCTGTGAGATCATGTGGTCTGTGAACAGGACTGCCGGGAGGTCATGGTCTATGAATCATTCGGGATTTCTATCTCACAAACCTATCACCAAACTTTGTTTTGTACTTTGTTTGTGGTCTGGCTGGCTGGGTTACGGGGGCAGCAGGGGAAGTGAGGAGAGACAGGGAGAAAGGTGAGGAACAAACTAGAGTCTTCCCTTGTTGCCCCCAGGTGGTGGGGGTGTGGAGGCCCCATTTCATCCGAGCCACAGCCTGTGTCTCAGCTTGTGGGAGACTCTGCACACTGGGAAACTGACTTCTGCCCAGAGGAGCAGGCCAGCTGACAGCCCAGGGATAAGCTCCATCTTGCACCAGAAAAGCTAGGAAGTCATGTACCTTAAAAGGGGAAGCAAAGAGAGAGAAGCCTGGGCACAAAAGACGCCACCCCCAGCCCAGCTCTGAGAACTGAACCGTGTGGAGCTTTACCTTCAGGGTCTGGAGCAAAGCCTGCGGGTCTGCATCAGAGACATCTGAAACCTACGGGCACAGGCGAGCGGCATGTTAGTCAGAACCCAACAGAACCAGGGCTCCAGTCCCCGCTGCCTTGCTTCTGTGCTGGTGGAGCACAGCTCAGTCACTGGGGCACGAATAAGGGCATCACTTTGTTCCCCACATGTGGGACTTGGCTGCTGGTTTGAAGTTTGGCCGGCCTTTTTTTGTTCCTCTCCAATGGAGAGACTGCTTCCCTCCCAGGCATGAAAATCACGCTACTTGCTACCCAGGTGGCGGCCTCCAATAAGGTTTATTATGAGAAGCACGTGCAGAAGATGGGCTACGATCCAAGACACTGATGTTCCCTGGAGCCCTGTTTCTGAGCTAATATCACTGTGGGAGGGAGGGGGAACTCACTCTGGGTCCACTTGGCAGCCCCTGGCTATTGCTTTGCTTTAAGAAAATGCTGGCTTTGTAAAGGACTTGTGACCCGTCCTGTGACTAGCCCTTTGGTCTCAGTGTCTGACTTGTGGTTTCTTAGAGGAGTAAGAGGAGTGAGGGGTGGGGAACGGGCCAGGCTCACCTCAGCATCAGCTCCTGCTAGGCCTGCCATGGTGTTGAAGAAGTCATCTTCCAGAAGGGACCTGCAAAGTGATGAGATCAGTCCCACCCACCTGTTTCCCCCAGTGGCATCCAGTCATTCTAAGGAGGAGAGGAGTCCTGGTGTGGTGCTGAATGATCAGCACTGAACTGGTATCTGCCAAGGTTGGCAGTTCAAACCCATCAGTTGCTCTTGGAAACCCTCAACAGGGTCACTATGAGTGGGAACTGACTCGAAGGCACACAACAGGAAGGAGGGGAGGCTTAGAGAGGCCAGTGACCTTGGATAGACGCTTCTCTGGGAGAATGGACTTGCTAAAAGGAATTTCACAGGCCACCTCATACAATAATTTTGAAGTGATTTTAAAGAAGTGAAAAACAAATCCACAGCCACTGGGTTTCCGGGGCTGAAAGTCTTTATGGGAGCAGACGGCCTCATCACTTTCCCACAGAACAGCTACTGGGTTCAAACCACCAGTTAGCAGTCAAGCACTTAAGTACTGCATCACCAGAACTTCTATCTTTTAAAGCTGTTGTTGTTAAATGCCGTCGAGTCGGTTCCGACCCATAGCGACCCTCTAGAGGGTTTCCAAAGAGCGACTGATGAGCTTGAACCACCAACCTTGCAGTTCAAACTGACTTTGCACTCTAGCGCATTAACACACAGCGACTCCTTTAAAGCTGTAGAGCCCCTTTAAGAACAAACTATTAAAAACAATAATTACTGTCGTTGTTAAGTGCTGTCGAGTTGGTTCTGATTCATAGTGACCCGGAATAGGGTTTCAGAGGAGCGGCTGGTGAATTTGAACTGCCAACTTTGCAGTTCAAACCAACCAGGTGGTCCAGTGGCTTATCCAGCAGCGCCTCAGCAGGACTCCAAACACAGTAACAGGGGGCAACTACTGGTCCCTCCCTGTGCAGACAAATAAAGAGTGATGAAAACTGATGATACTTGGGAGCCGTACTCATGGACCACTGCGAACATCAGTTTCCAACACTCTGAGTCGAGATGAACTAGATGGTGCCCAGCAACTACTGCCAACTGTTCTGCCAAATATCACATTAGAATGTTCTGGAGAGAGTGGGAGAAAATGTGGAATAAAATTCAAAATGATTAAAAAAAAAAAAGACCAGGCTTCCTGGTTAGAAAAAAAACTCAAGGAATCTGAGACTGTGGCCCTTGGTCACCGTTCCAGTCTGGAACTAAACTCACTCTCTTGGCTCAATTTCCAGCCAAGCAGTAGGTAAGTATATGGGAGGGGCAACAACACTAGTGAGGTCTGCTCACCATGGAAAGGTCAACCGTTCTAGATCACTTACCTAGGGACAACATTCAGAAGGGTTGAGAAAAGAGGGGGAATGGAAACAAGAATCAGAGGGACGAAGTGGGACAAGGGATGTTCCACTGAGGGGACTGCAATCACTGAGATGAAAACACTGATGATCCGCTCTGTAAACCTCATTCAATTCACAACACAAAGTTTAAAAACAAGACAAAGCAAAACAGCTAAGACAGAAAAGCAGAAGTCCTTTAGTGAAAAGGGAGGTGAAGGGCCAAGAACTCACAAAGCTCTCCCCTTATTTCTCCTCTAACACGAGAACCACAGAAGAGCAATCGGAATTTGGAAACCAAGGACTTACACTATCATCTTATCTTGTTGTGAAGGGCCCTGGAGTCCTGTATAGGGTCTCTGAGGAGCAGCTGGTGGGTTTTAACTGCCAACCTTGAGGTTAGCAGTCCAGTGCTTATCCTACAGCCCACCCTAGGTTTGAGGATCAGGAAACTGAATCTCAGATAAGGCCAGAAGACTGCCCAAGGCCACACAGTAAGGAAGCGAGGTAGAACTAGGAGGCAGGCCTTCCGGACTTGCAGCTGAGTTCTCCTTCCATGAGGGAAGGGGTGAGGGTTACTGACACTGATAATGGGTAGCCACGTGGGGACTGACCTGGACAGGGGGTCAGCTTACTTTGTTCTAGCTCTTGAGGAAGGAAGCACCTGAGAAGGGCCCGTGACATCTCTGGCACGTGGAGCTAGTTTTACAGGCTTCTCGGGGAGGGTCACTGGCAAAAAGAAAACAGAAGAAAAGGTGTTACTGGCTAAAGAACCCTGGTGTCAACGTAAAAAGGATCCCAGTTCTTCCACCCAGCTGTCTCCCAGACCTTCTGCCTTTAAGGCGGTCCTGGTTGGGGGAGGGGGCTGGCCCCATAGACAGATTCCAAGTTGCCCTTTGAAAGTCCTGAAGGGAAGGGGAACAATATATTTCCAAGCAGGAAGTCAACCCTAAATGCCAACTGGTGTCAAGAGAAGACCCTAAAGCGACCCCACCCCACAGAAATGCAGAACAGTGTCCCTTCCACTCCCCTGTACTGTAGGTTGGGATACATGGACTTGTGGTTTGAGAGGGGCTCCCAGGTCAAGTGAAGGGGACCTAACCTGACTGTCCATAGTGACCCTGAGTCCTGCTCCTCAGTACAGTGGACACACACATTGGGTAAGGGTGAATTGTTGTTAATACCGTTGAGTCGGTTTCGACTCATTGCAACCCTGTATAGGGTTTCCCAGGAGCGGCTGGGAAGCTTGAACTGCTGACCATGCAGTCCAGTGCATTAACCCACAGCACCACACCAGGAGTCCTACTCGAGATAGATAAGGCTCTTATAATTGAACAATAAACAGAAAAATTACCCAATGATTTGTTTGGCTGCTATTTTCTGGGGTGATGAGAATATTCTGGAATTGGGCAGTCATGGTGGTTATGCCACATAGTGACTATATACTAAGAATCACTGAATCACATATTTAAAGAGAAACTGAAAAAAAGAACAAGCCTGGACCAGGGATACTTACAATCATCCCCCAAGAGGTCACCAAGGACATCATCAATGGAGCCTGCAACAGAGAAGGGGTTGCTGGGGTTTCAGGAGGAAACATTAGCTCTTACAAACCTCAACTGAGACCTCATCCCACAGCCTCAACGCACTCCTGGTGGGAGCACACTGAGGTAGTGTCTAACTCACTGGCCATAGGTCACAATGCCCCGATAAAGACACCAGCATAGAAATTAAAAGGAACATTGTTCCAGGAATGATGGTGAAGACTTGCAATTGAATTCACGTTCTATGTGCCTCCGCATGACACGCTGGTCAATGGGCCATCCTTCAGACTCTGAAAAAAAAAACCTGTGTGGCCCTTTGGGAAAAGTGCCCAAGATCTCTGGGTACATATAGCTCCTTCCTCGTACCCTTCCATGCGAGACCTCCTGGCCACTTTCTGATGGGGGTAGATTATGAATAATGAAGTAGTATGCGCATTTTAGGAGCTCTGGTAGGTAGTGTAGTGGTTATAAGTCCGGCTGCTAACTCCACAGTTAACAGTTTTAAACTACCAGTAGTTCCACAGGAGAAAGATGAGGCTTTCTGCTCCCGTAAAGACTTAGTTACCACTAGTTAAGTGCTGTCGAGTCAATTCCGACCCATAAAGACCCTGTATAGGGTTTCCGAGAAGCTGGTGAGCTTGAACCACCGACCTTGCAGTTCAAACGGCTTTGCAGTCTGGCATATTAACCCACAGCGCCATACCAGGACTCCCCCGTAAAGACTTACAGCCTCGGAAACCCTATACAGGGTCGTTATGAGTCGGAACCGACTCCACGGCACAGAACCACCACCACCCACTTGCAACAGGCTTCAGTGCCTTAAGCACTCTTACCATCAGCTTCTTTTTTTTTTAAATCACGAAGAATTTAATTATTTATGTGTGTAGCTAAGTAGTCCTGGTAACGCAACAGTTAAGCACTTGGATGTTAACTTAAAGGCTGGCTGTTTAAACCCACCCAGCAGGCCCTTGGGAGAAAGGCCTGGTGATCTGCTTCTTAAAGATTCCAGAAAGGTCTATGGGGCGGTTCTACTCTGTCACAGACAAGTATCCTCACACACAGTGCCGGTTTGGATCCAGAGCACCTTGATAAAATGACTATCACAATAGATTCATACAAATTCTCTGGGTTCCCAGTGCATACAAAAGCTATGTTACACTATATTCTGGTGTGTTGAGTACACGGTAACATTATGAGAAATCGTAAAATTATTGTGGGAACTGCCAAAGTGTGACAGGCACAGCAGACACACAATGAGAACACGCTGTTGAAAAATGCACCACTAGACTTGCTGGACACAGGGTTGCTACAAACCTTCAATTTGTCATAGAACACAGTACCTGGGAAGGCAGTAAAGTGCAGTACAATCAGATACGGTATTGCCTGTATATGGGGTTGCTATTAGTCGGAATAAAATCGATGGTACCTAACAATAGTTGTGTGCCATCAAGTCAGTTTCGACTCATAGCAATGCTGTATAGGGTTTCTGAGAGCGGCTGGTGGGTTTGAGCCTCCGACTTTGCAGTTACCAGTTCAGGCCTTATCCTACGGTGCCACACCCAAGCTCAACAACAGATGTGTAATCAATTCCGAAAGTTATAGCAGGGCTGGTAAAAGCATAGGTTTAGACATTAATGTACTTTACATCCTGATCTATTGCAATATTCAGACGTCATTGAGCGAGACGGCACCACCCTCATTCTCTGCACCACAGAACTTGAGAAGGAGCTCCCCAGGATGCCATAGACTTTCGGGGAGGCCTGAGTTGTTGCTAAATGCTGTCAAGTCACTTCTGACTCACAGCGATCATGCGTAAGGTTTCCGAGGAGTGGTTGGTGGGCTTGAACTGCTGATCTTGCAATTAGCAGTCCAGTGCTTATCTGACAGCACCACACCAGACATGAGTCGAGCAGCTATGTTGTGCTTGAGGCTTCCTCCAAACCCCCCACTTCTCATGCTGTCAGTAAGCATAGTATTAGCTGTAGCTTCTCTCACACATAAAGGAATCATGGACTCCATATAGTTAATCTGTAGAAATTCCAGTCTAGTTTTAAAGTACAAACATTGAGAATGAATTGCAGGGAGATTTCTATATTTTCTTTTTTGTCAAGAAAATTACTTATGTCAAAGAAGCCATCCCATTAAGAGTCACTGGTATAAAACTTCCTATAACAGAGAAGAATAAGAGAAGACATTAATGTTAGGTACAACCACCTCAGCAGTATTGGCTTTGGAGTTATAGTTCAACCATCTACTTCTGGAGACAAAACCCGCCAAGAAAGATTTTCTCCAAAGTCCTATCCTATGATTTTTTTCTGAATTACTCTGAGGGCCAATGAGGGAGCTTGGGAAGGAGTCCTCTAGGAAGATCAAGGCTGCCTATGGGATGATGGGAAAAACAGCAAGACTCAGATCAAGAACATGCAGACACACACCACTGCCTCTGAGTCCATTCCGAGTCATAGCAACCCTCCTAGGGTTTCTAAGACTATAAATCTTTACAGGAATAAACAGCCTCATCGTTCTCCTGTGGAGAGGCTGGTGGGTTTGAAGTGCCCACCTTGCAATTAGCAGCCCAAACTTAGCACACTGTGCCATCAGGGTTCCGTACATATAGACACAGCCATGTCTAAATTATTTTTGGAGCCACAGAATGGTGATGGTGGTAGAGGAAAACACACATAGACACACAACTGGCTTAAGAGTATGTTCCATTTCCTCACTTACTTTTCAATCCCTTCTTGGCTTTTGCTGCCTAAAATGAGAAAACAAATCACATTAACAAAAGCATTTAGTGAACAGTGTGTTGAAGTGGAGGAACACAAGGCTGGGACTACACAGTGAATTGTTTTGCCTTTTCTAAAGTCACTGGAGGAAAAGAGCCCCAATGACATTTCTGACAGAAATCCTTTATATTTTCCTAGAAGGGACTCATTCAGAGCATGACACCAGCTGTCACTAACCAGCAGTGGGCTGGTCTCTCCTTTTCCCTGACTTCCAGATGCCATACATGTCCCTTCCAGGTTATAACACACATGACTGTCCACCCTTTCTGGTATATCCCATGCACCCAATTTCTCAATCATGACAGATACTGAGGAACTTTCAGCTGGAAATCCTTGCTCGTGTTTAATGAGACATCTGGTATCCACTATACTTTCTATTAGGCTTCTCCACGAACGATGAACCTGTCCCCTGCCACCCAATCGCCCAAACTTCAGCATACAGTCAAGATCCTAGGGGAGACGAGGCTACGTCTTACTCTGCACCCCACCTACCATCTCAAAGCTGTAGGGCTGTTTCTCAGCACTGTCTAGCTCTCCTGACTTCCAGCCACAGCACAGTCCTCTTCACCTCATCAAGAAGATTCAAGTGGTTGCTGAAAAATGATGTGGCTTTGGCAGAATGGGTTGGTGGCCGCAGGAGGTAGGTGGGCTGATGGGGTCACACCTTGCCACCTCCAGTCCCACGGGTCTTGCCTCCTTCCACCTTGCACCCTGAGCCCACAATACCACAGTACCTGACCTGGGAGAAGTTCTTCCAAGCTCTACCTCGCCAACCCCATGAAGGCACGTGTGGTTCTCAAATATAGGCATACTGATGGCAGTCTGTGTATTAAAGTAACAGATGATTTAGTTTGTTTGGTGTATAGAATAGACTAAGCTCAAGATGTAAAGAAGTTGGGAAAGTTCCACCATCAATGAACGCAACTTAATGGTAGCCAAGGAATCCCACCCACAGTGTTGCCATGGAAACAAACAAAAGGTTTAAATGGAAGATTGTCATGTGTTAGGAAGCAAATTACCTTTTGAATTTGAAAGCTTGGGGACAGAACATGCTTTATGTAACTGAGTGAGAGATTTAATATCTGACATCTTTTAAAAAAAAAAAAATATATATATATATACTTGGTTTTTTAATGTTTAGAGAGCTTGCTGTTGTTAAGTGTCATCGGGTACGTTCCAACCCATAGTGACCCTGTATAGGGTTTCCGAGGAACAACTGGTAAATTTGAACTAGTGAGTTAAAGGGCCTCTATTTATATTGGAAACTGAGCAAGATAATGCATCTATCTTAGAAACCTTTCACAGATTATGTTGGCCCAAATACAGAATTATTACTCTGGTAAATATGTATCAATATTTTAAAGTGAGGCATAAGGAGAAGCCTGTTCTTTAAATTTAATGCTTTTAAAATAAAATTAAATGTAAACATTTTGTTGGATTCATATTTCTTTTGGAGCATAAAATTTGCTACATATGACCAATAAATATGGTCAATGGAATTAACTATGAACATGATTATTTACAGTAATATAATTTCAATTCTACATAAAAATAACTGAGAACAAGTAAGCTTTACCATAAACTTTCAATTTCAATTAAAAAAAAAAAAGTATGTTTTTTAATATAAGGGACTTGGAGGGTCATTGCTTGTTGAACTATGACTTACTCTGAATCCATTTTCAGTGATTAAAACTGCAATGAATGGATAAATTGAAGATCTCTAATGGAATGAAGGAGTCCTGGTGTGGCGCTGTGTGTTAACGCGATGGACTGCAAAATTGGTTTGAAACAAAAGGTCGGCAGTTCAAGCTCATCAGCCGCTCCTTAGAAACCCTATACAGAGTCCCTATGGGTAGGAACTGACTTGCCAACACTTAACAACAAATGGATTGAAACCACTATATTACAGAAATATTTGCTATGTATTTCTTATCCAAAGTTTCTCAGAAGGCTAAGAATTGTTGGAATTTTGCATAACTCTCTAGACACGTCTGTTCACTTTCTCTTTTGGTGTTAAACATGACTCAAAACTGTTATGTTTTCCAGTAAACCAGCACATGATATTATTTAATATTTTATATTTGCAACCCGAATTTTATCACCTAAATGTAATTTTCACGTGTTAATTACTCACGGGTGAAATCTGTCATCTTGAGCAGCATTTTAGTATGGAAAGTTCCACTGTCAATACAAATTTTTGGCATGTTTCAAAGAGGTCAGCAAATAAATGATTAAATAAGTAAATCAGTAACTGGCGTGCCTTTAATAGTGCTGAGTCCAAGACCCATCAAAGCCTCTCACACGCTACTCATTCAAGAAGTCAAAACCTGTTTCCATAAATTAAAACATTTCTTATTCGCAGA